CATTATATTCTGCATCAGCTGCTGAAATGCATTTTAGTTTGCAGCTTACTTACCATGTCTGGTCAGTGTATCATCTGATATTCTAACAATTAGCAAGCGGTTGTTGTAAGGATTAAATAAGATAAAATGCATTAACATAGCAGCATAGTAAATGTAAATACTTATGAGAAAACCCTCTCCTTTGCTTTCGCCAGACTTGGCATACTTGTTTGCATTTTATGCCTTTGCCTAGAATATTCCACCCTTTGAGATAGGTCAATTCACAGATGAATGTTTTCATGTTACAGCTACTTGTGCTTCTCTCTGAAACATTCTGCTGAGCTTATAACTTGGAGCCCTTGGGAACAGAGAGCCCTAGGATGTAAGTGGTTGGAGGCCTGGGGTGGCAGGCATTTCCAGAAGCTGATATTGTCATCAGGGATGATCTGACAGAGACCTGAATCATACAATATTTAGCAGATGGGGCAGAGAGGCCAGTTACACAGGAGACACAGCTCAGGTTGAATTCAGAGGCCCAGTGCTTGGGCACCTGAAAGTGTAAACTCGAATAAGGAACTCAGGAGAGAAGACACAGAAGGTGGAGCTGGGAAGGTGGCAGAATCGATGAAGTAGGTTTTCAATCTTCTGAGATGGGATTTTAGTGGCCTCTTTACTTCCATGGGGAAATAAACAACCCACGCCAACGGATTGTGCCCACTGGTGCTTTAGAAAAATTCCTTTTGGTTTTTGAGCCTTTGATCCATGTTCAGAAGTCAACACCCTCGACAGGGCTGCCATTTGGAGCTAACAGTTCCCCGCAATGTCATTGGAAGATTCGATTGGGGCATCTTAGAGGAAGACGGGAGGGTGTGACTGCAGAGGAGGGAGAGAGTGCCTGGCATGACGTGCGGCCCAGAGCGCAGGGCTTGACAGCCTCCAGGGGACCCAGACCAGTGGGTGTGTTTGAGGCTTACATAGTTCAGATTTCTGCATGCCTGCGGACGCACTCTTGACATGCCTCTCCTGTGTCTATGTGTTCTTCTCCACAGCACAGCCGTCTGGTCATGGCTGCTCCAGCCTCACCATGGCTGCAGAGGTCCAAGCTTGACCATCCCCTACTTCTGCTGTTCCCGTTCCTGGTCTTCCTCCTCTTCCTCTTCTCCCTAGGTGCCCCTGACCGTCCCTCCGCTCTTTCCACCATACCCCCTACTCTGTATTGTGGGTGAGGACATTTAGTTAGATTTGCCTTGACTCACGTTGACTTTACGTTTCTTCTCTGATGCGTGTATGTGTTCTTCCTAACTTAGCATTTCTCAAAATGTGCCCTGTGAAACAGTGTGATAGGAGTATACACACAAAATTGGCTTATAATCAAAGGGTGGGAAGTGCTGGGTTTTGCAGAGGTTAAAAACCTTTTATTTTTCAAGGGCTCCTGGGTACCTCAGTGAGTTAAGGGTCCAACTCTTGATTTCAGCTCAGGTCATGATCTCACAGTTTGTGAGTTCGAGCCCCACATCGGGCTCTGTGCCAATCGTGTGGAGTCTGCTTGGGATTCTCCCTCTCTTCCTCTCTCTCTGCTCTCTTTCTCTCAAAATAAAAAATAAACTTGAAAAAAAAAAAAACCCACACCTTTTGTTTTTCAAACCTTAGACCTCTGCAGAGCTTTAATTTCCAAAAGTAAATCCTGACTCCCCATGGAGTGTTTCTCAGTGTTAGTTACTTGCACAAGAACCTGTTTTTAATGTCTTGGGGCTAGTGTTCTGCAGGACGTGGTTTCCAGAAGGGCTTCGACTCTGTAAGGGTGGAAACCACATTGTCCTCCACTGTGGATCCCATGTTAGCTGAGGGCAGTCATTGCTGAGTAAACTCTTGAGACTTCTTCTTGAAACTTTTTTATCGTTGGGGCGCCTGAGTGGCTCATTCAGTTAAGTGTCCAACTTCCGCTCCAGTCATGATCTCCCAGTTCCTGGGTTCGAGCCCCACCTTGGGTTCTGTGCTGACAGCTCAGAGCCTGGAGCCTGCTTTGGATTCTGTGTCTTCCTCTCTCTCTACCCCTACCTCACTCACACTCTGTCTCTCTCTGTGTCTCAAAAATAAACATTAAAAAAATTTTTTTAACCATTTTATTGTTGGAAAAAATTATATAAAATTCACCATTTAAGCCATTTTAAAGTGTACAGTTGAGAGGCACTTAGTACATTCACAGTGTGGTGCATCCATCACCATCTTCTGATTCTAGAACATTTTCATGACCCCAAAAGGAAACCCTGGACCCATTAAGCAGTCACTCCCCACTTCTCCCTCCATCAGCCCCAGCAACCACAAACTTGCTTTCCATTTCTATGGATGTGCCTATTCTGGACATTTCCTAGCAGTGGAATCGTAGATACAAGGTCTTAGATGTGCATGATACCTCTGCCCCCGCGGTGTAGCTCTTCATCATTGGCCAAACCCCATTCATGTGTAAGTAACAGAGAGCACCTCTCCATCTGGAAACCTCCAAGTCGTGTGGCCAGGTTAAAAATGCCCTGGAATACTGTGGAAAAGGGTCAGTGGTGCTGTTGCCTTTGCCAGGTTTTGGCCTGGGATTTCAGGAAGCTGACTTGAGCCGGGCTGGGAGCCCTTTCGTGGTGGCGGAAGTGACAGGCTGTTGGCCTGGTTGGCTTTAGCACCCTCACCCGTCCTCTCTCTCCCATCAGAGGTCTTCACTTCAGGCCGTTCATCCTTTAATAACTAGCAAACATGTCAGAATGGGCTGGGCTCTTCATGGAATCTTCTTACGTCCTTCGGGCGTGATCTTCCAGCCAGAGGACTCATGCAAAAATTGGCTGTCCTGAGGCTGTCTGTCTCATGTGTTGCAATTCCCAGGGGATGGGTCAGTCCTCACCCACTAGAGAGAAAGCTGCTGGCCACCCCCTTGTAGCACCCTGTGCTCACTCACCTTATGGGCTTGTGAAACCCCCATCTGTCGCTCCATTGAATTGCCAAGATTCTCTTGTCTCTGGGCTGCACCCTTCACTCCTCCACTACTGATGCCACCTGAGGCCGGGCACACCACTTCTAGAAGAAACCATTTTCAGTGTGCCACTCTAACGTCCAAGGAACCTGGGGTATTGTCTCGGTGTCCAAACACCTTTGCAGTTTTTGAGCGTGTCTCTTTCCTCCTCAGTGTAGACCATGGCCCTTCAGACTCATCAGACCGGTCTTGTTCCTCTTCCCCCTGGAGCCTTTAGCTCCTCCTCCCAGGCTTGGAACAACTGGCTGCTCTCTCTCCGTTTTCCGATTTTCCTTGACCCATCTGACTCTCCCTTGAAGCTTAGCTATCAGCTCAGCGGCATGGTGTGCACGGGGCTTCCCCGGAGCATTCCAGCAACTCTTGCTGCCCACACTGCATTCATGTTGCAACTCTACCACCACAGAATTTAGAACTGGCAACATTTTCCCCTAAAGATTTTATCACTTCGTGTTTTTCCCCTAGTCAGATGATTAGCTCTTGGAGGAAGGGACAGTATTGCTAAGCAAGTAGATTGGGAAGTCACCAGGCTATAAATCTGAGGGCTAGGTCACCCGTGGGTACAGCCACTTGCTGGCTCTCTTGTCTTGGAAAAGCTCCTTACCTTGTACTTCTCAGCTATAAAACGAGTGGGGGTGGGGTAAAGAGAGTGTTTTAGTTTTCTATTTGCTGCTATAACAACTGACTATAAACTTAGTGGCTTAAAGCAACACAAATGTATTCCCTTTAGTTCCGAAGGTCAGAAGTCAAAAATGGATGTGTCCGTGACATTCCTCCCAAAGGCTCTTGGGAGAATCTGTTTCTTGTCTTTTCCAGCTTTTGGGGGGCAGCTTTGGAGGATATCATTCTGTCCACCATACTGGATTCTTGGGTCTCTTGTGTTTCTAACGTGCCACAAATCTGAAGACACATTTCTTTCTCTTACTTAAAGAATTTAGCACTGTGCTGGATTCATTAATTTCTTGATAAGTTAGTTTATCCATGAGGGTTTCCTCCTCTCAGATTGTTACTGGGGATCCCAGAGCCTAATGAGACTCAGTAATATAACCATGAGCACAAACTTTAGGATCGTTCTGTGTTTAGACTCCCACTGACTGCACTTTAGCTAGAGAAAATGTGATGATGCTCCTCTTCCTACCTTTGATTTTCTGCTTTGCCTGCTTTGAAGAAATTCTCAAAGGATTTCATCTCTTTCCCGGTAGCCTTTTAAACAGCTTGTTAGGGGTGCCTGGGTGGCTCAGTCAGTTAACTGTCCGACTTCAGCTCAGGTCATGATCTCACGGTTCGTGGGTTTGAGCCCCGCGTTGGGCTCTGTGCTGACAGCTAGCTCGGAGCCTGGAGCCTGTTTCAGATTCTGTGTCTCCCTCTCTCTCTGACCCTCCCCTGCTCACGCTGTCTCTCTCTCTCAGAAATAAATAAAAACATTAAAAAATTGTTTAAAAACCCAGCTTGTTACTTATACTGGTGATTCATGTCTAGTGATCTTTCCATAAACCCCTGAATATGTTTCCAGGTCCTGCAGAACTTGAAGTAGATGTGTTGTTAAGGTCTAGAAGCCAAATAGACAAAGATATTAACTTAGCTAATCTCATCTGTAATTGCTACTTAATGTTATGATATTTCACAGGAATTTAGATTGGTATTTATAGGGGAGTTACGCTATATTCCTTTCCCTGCATTCCATCGGGTGGTGTCCACCTTGGGTAACCACCGCTTACAAAGCAGCAAGAGAGTGGGGCGCCTGGCTGGCTCAGGCCAAGGAACATGTGACTCGTGATTTCGGGGTCATGGATTCATGCCCCAATTGGGTGTAAAGATTACTTGAATAAATACATACACTTAAAAAAAAAAAATAGCGGTGAGAAATCATCCATAAAATCAACACCCTCCCCCACCCCCTTTTAAGAGTTGAGGTTACTTTCAACTATTGAGTCTGAGACATTTACAGTGTGAGTCAAGCACGTCTGTGGCCTGTATATTGAAGCTTTCTTTCTATTTTGCTTTCTAGATGCACCCCCTGGGCCTATGTAATAACAATGATGAAGAGGACTTGTATGAATACGGCTGGGTAGGAGTAGTGAAGCTCGAACAGCCAGAATTGGACCCAAAACCATGCCTCACTGTCCTGGGCAAGGTAAGCACCAGGCCCTCTGAATCACTCTGGTTCCTACGGTGTTCTCTGCTCTCCCATTTCATCAGTTCCTCGCCTAACTGCTTACAGAGAAGAGCCATCCCGGCACAGCCCTCTCTCCCAGCCGAACCGTGTGGGGTGAAGACTAACACAAGCCCTGTGGCAGCCCACCGTGGTGTTTCCAAGCTTGGGCTCTGACGGAGCTCACCAGCCTCAGAGTTGGCTCCCCCTCTTGTCCACTCTGTGACTTTAAGCAAGTCTCTTCCCCTCCAGGAGCCTCAGCTTCTTATCTGTGTAATGGGTTCATATTAGAGGTTCACAGTACCTTATACCCTTGGGGACAGAGGTATCAGAAGTCTGAGATTTGGAGAATTTAGAAAGGTATGAAGGCTGTACATGTTTTATATTAAGTAACCCCCAGGAGATCTGGGGCAGTTCTTCGTAATTAAACACCTTCGTATTTGTGTGGCAAACTGTATGGATATTCACATTAAGTGACATAACTAAAATCTCCTGTTAGTTCAGGGCAGCTTTGCCTCTAAATGAGTTCGGGTCCATTAAGTTTTGCTGCCAAGTAAGTTCTGGAAAAACTCCTGGGTTTTAGAGCTTTTTTGGTTTCGGAATGGCAGACAGCAATTATGGTCCTATATTAGAACTTACCTCATCGGACGGTTAGGGGGTGAGATGAGATACAAACAGCCAGCAGAGGAAGCTTTCAAAAAATGTTTGCTGCCATTGGCTGCTACCGCCCCATTTAGAAGCACGACACAAGAGACTCGTTAGCCAAGAAGGTCAGCATTATCTCTGGCTGTAGTGTTAAGATAGAAATTTATCGTGGAAAACTGTCCATCAACGATCTTAAAATCTGACAAATGACCATCTGTTTTAAACCGGATCACTTTGTTAAAGGGAAAGGTTTGAAGAAAGTTATTAGAAATTAGGATTTTAGCTGGAGGAAAGGCGGTATCTCCTAAGGACAGTGTTATTGCCTGGGTATGTTTTATAAAAAAAGAAGAGGAAGAAAAGGAAAAAAGGGGAGAAAGAGGGGGAAGGAGGGGGGGGGGGGGGGGGGGAATAGTCCTGATTCCTTACCTCTCAAGGACTCAGGCAGGATGGCTTTGATGCAGGGTGTTTGAGGGAGAGCCTTTCCCCCCCATTCGAAGATGTCCCAGCCAGTGTCTCCTAAAAGGCTTTCAGTCCAGGAGACCATTAGGAGTCTAAGCTAGGATTTTCCTGCCCCTCTCATCTTCTGAATAGCTTCTGAGCACTTGTTGAGTTCTCCTGCCCTTTTGTAAGGGTGGGGGGCGGGGGGGACAACCCAGGAATTATTACCCGTCTGGTTTACAGTTCATGAAGTCAAATCAAGGTGTTTTAGGTGACCCAGGCCCTGATACTTCATCATTTCAGAGCTGCTTAATGATGCTAGGAGAGCTGCGGCCCCTTTGAAAATACTGTAGTGTTTTCCTAGGAGAGATGCCAGCTGCATCCAAAGGTTGGGAACACTGCTTCCCTTGTGGGCAGAACACTCCTCCTATAATATTTTCTCCTATACTTACGCTGCTGCTTTGCGGCAGCTTGACTTGATTTGTTTTACTCCAGCTCAGTGGAGCTCTACCTTTGCATCTGTTGTGTCTACACGTGGGGTGGAACAAGGGTCCTGGGGACCCCCACATTGTCCTTCAATGGCTCAGTGCTGTCGAAGTCACTTGGAGAACCCGCTTGTTACCTTCGCCACCTAGAACAGCCATGTAGTGGTTTTACTTGAAGAGGTTTGTATGGTTTGGCCTGCTGGCCTGTGAAGCCAGGGGGAATAAAAACCCTAGACATATATTGAATCATTAAGTACTTCTTGGGTTTATTCATTCACCAAATATTTATTGAATGCGGGGGCCCTGAAGCTAAGTGTGTGGTTCTACCTGCTTGCAAGCAACAGCCCCCCTTCCCCCGCCGTGTCTCTGCTTGGAAAGGCTGTGCGGTGGCCAGGCAGTATTTACACGTGGTTAGTTCCCGAAATTTGGCTTAACACCTGAATAAAATCATTAGCAAAAATGCCTGGGCCAGACAAAGCAAGACAGTTTCACATTTGTTTAGACACTGGGACTGTACAGGAGGTGTGATGACTCATCCATCTCTCTCTCTTTCCCTCTTTGCTTTTTTCCTTTCTACCTTCCTTCCTCTCTCTTTTCATTTCTCATTAAAAAAATTTTTTTTAATGTTTATTTATTTTTGAGAAGGAGAGAGGCAGAACGGGAGCAGGGGAGGGGCAGAGAGAGAGGGAGACACAGAATCCAAAGCAGGCTCCAGGCTCTGAGCTGTCACACAGAGAGCCCAGTGCGGGACTCAAACCCACAAACTGTGAGATCATGACCTGAGCCTAAGCCAGATGCTTAACTGACTGAGCCACCCTGGCGTCCATTTTCATTTCTCATTTTAAAGTGTAGTTGTTCTCAGCTTCAATTTTATTAACTTTGCTAACTGCGCCTTTTATTTTTATTTTTAGCCCCCAAGGGCAGTAGCAAGAGACTAGGGTAAAGAAAAGCAAAGTGATCCTCACAGGCAGCCCTGTCTCCTGCAGATAGCCTGCTTTTCTCTCACTTCTTTGCTCTCAGTGGCTGTGGCAAGAAGGCAGTGGGCAGTGGAGAGAAGCACAAAAGGAAGAGATTACAGCCAAGTCAACGTGGGGGTGGGAGGAGGGACTCCTCCATATAGATGTTGAGACTTGCTGAAAACCATAGAAGGGAGGACTCTGTCAGGCGCGCGGAAAGGCCTGTGGGAGAACAGAGGAGGGCCAGTCGCAGACCCCTCTCCCTCCCCCACCCCCCACTCTCATCACCTCCCCGCCCACAGAAAATGCCATGGGGCAAAATGTTGAAACAAGAGAGGAATGTCCTAAATTAAAAACCTGTAAATGCCTCTCCAGGAGTTCAAATAAAGTTTCATTTTAAAAGCAAAAGACATAAACTCATCACCTTGGTTTATTACTGAATGCTTTTGAACTCCTCAGAAGGGAACACTATAAACTCATGAGAGAAAAATGATTTATGATCCCCTCCTTATAATCCTTTCGATTCTGCAGGAGGCAGGGCAGATAGTGGGATCAGCTAGGGAGGCAGAGTTGGGGTGAGAGGGAGCCCCCCACAGGGATATAGCCAGCCGGGGCACCGGGCCAGGCCCTGCATCATACCAGGCCCAGAACAGAAAGGCTTTCTGGGCCTTTCTCTTTCACTCCATGTTAAGAGGCTCCTTACTCTTCTAATATTTTGAGCTTTCTGTGTCATTTAAAATCTCTTCCCTTGATATTCTAGTTCAGGGAGATTCTCTTTGCAGCATTGAAGGCCAGACTTGGTTTTTAAAAATAGAATAAAATGGACATTTCTGAGCAGCTTGCTACTAAAAGTACGGGTCTTGAACATCCCCACAGTGCAGGAATCTATGCTCATCCCATGGGCGTTTTAACCCTTCAATTCAGACAGTGTTTATTAAGCATCTTCTGGGATGGGCAAGAACTTTCAAGGTTGACCTTACTAGCTTCAGTTCCTATGACGCATCCACGTAACTGAGGGTCTCATGGCAAGAACCCAGAGGATGTGGTGGAGTTCCTAACAAAGCCCGCCTGGCCCGGATTCCATAAATGGAGGCAGAATAAACCTCTCCTCCCCCTCATGCCACGTTGAGGTGGACCCTTAGGGAGGGTTTTGGAAGACAAGACAGTCAGTAGGCATGGACCAGCTCTTTCTGCTACTCGGAAGGATGGTGTGAGGAAATGAATAAAGAGACAAGAAAGGCAGGGAGTTTTGGGGTCAGAGACCGAGCACTGGGAGAGCAACCTCAGAAAGATCACTTCAGTTCTGGGGTCCTTAGGCTTAGGCCTCCTGCTGCCTTTGTCATTGCGTTTGTCACTGTCATGTGCGGTGTTTGTGGAGAACTTAACACAGAGCCTGGCTCGTGGTCCGTGCCTGAGGAGAACATAACAGCAGCCATAATGTGTTGGGTGCTCGCTCAGCGCTAAGTGCTTTCTCTGCAGCATCTTTCATTTTCGGACTGGCTCTGAGATCGTGTCCAGATTCCCGTTTTACCATGAGAAAATCAAGTCCCAGAGACATTCTCTACATAACCTAAGATCAAACGGCTCCCAAAGTAGCTGACCTGAGATCTGAGATAAAGGCTGTTCTCCTGCCTCACCTCTGTCAGTTTCCCCCCCTTGCCTGCTTTTGTCTTCACCAATTTGTAGATAAAAATCGGTGCTTTTCAGTAGCCACTGGCCTAGTTGGGACTGTTGGTTCCACTTAGCAGAGACCTAGCTTGAGCGGAGTTTAGCCAAAAGGGGATTTGCTCTCGAGGCTCCTGGGTAGCTGCTGCTCTTCTAGAAGAGCCAACTCTGGGCTTAGTGCCAGGGGTCCCTCCCCAAGGCTTCTGTATATATCTGCTTTTATTCGTCTCTCTCACTCTCTCTCTACCTGCTTGGTAGGAGACATAGCCGCCCGACATCCCTGGGTCTGACACTGTCTTGGTTTCAAGCCTGCAGGATTTCACGAAAAGGATTTGTTGGCCCATCTTGGATCAGATGGCCACTTTTAGTCTGGTCGGCTGTGATCCGGGGCTGGGAACTCACAGAACAAATCCTTAGCTTCCTGCGCAGCCATGTGTGGGGCCTGGGAGGATGAAGTGCTCTCCAGAAGACAGCTGGCTACCATCCCTAAGCAGCCCCCTGTAGTCACCAAGCCCTGTATGGGACCGTCAGCCAGTAGGTGATGTCCTCAATTTATCCTGAGTCATTCAGAGAAGCACCAGTTGGAAGGGACTTCTCTGGTCCACGTGTGCTATGAAGAGTTCGTTCTTCTTGCCCTGAGCTGAGAGCCAGTCCCTGGTATGGATAGAAATGAGGAGGAGAAGCGAGTCTCTGGGGCTGGAAGTGTCAGATGGGTTTGACAGAGGGGGGCTGTGGGAGACAGGGAGAGATGGGGGAATAATCTCCAGGAACAAGGCGGAAGGAAAGGAAGCAA